CTGCGTAATCTTACAATTATGTGTGATACCATTCATACAGTTGTTCAACCATAGATACAGTTCTAGTCTTGTTTATTTTAACATAAAAGTAACCTAACTTTGGGGTGTGAATAAAATTCTTCTAACTCAACTTCTTCACCAATGCGTAAGGAAATCCTTGAACGTCTTTTCTGAGTATTGCCCCACCTGGTAGTCATTCATGTCTTCATTTTTAATTATCTAATAATTAATATATGCCCAAACAACTGGACAACATTCGGGTAACAGCTTTTTTAAGACACAGCAGGAGTTCCAATTAGGAAGCACAGTCAAGACTGAGAGTAACAAGAATTTTAATAAACTGATTGCTAAAGAACCACGACCAAACAGAACTGAGCAAGGCAGACATGTCATTTGTACTTCTTTCCGAAAGCCGTGAGGAAATTATAAACTAAGTGGCCCCAACATGATTTCCAGCTTTTTTTGTTATATTGATAATACCCTTTATTATACACATTAAATTACACGAATGAATTATGACAGCGCCTCCTTCTGGCTCGGTTTAAGTGTAGTAATGCAACAGGCAGTCAAATGTAAGGAACCACTCTTTCGTACCCCCTCCCCAAATAAAATACACCTACCTGATTGGCGCGTTCCAGGTCGTTCAGGATGATGTCCATTTCATCGGATCTACAGGAAATAAAAATAATGAACACAACCACCTGGTTGAGAAACGTTCAATGAGCACACTTCTACTAATTACAATAAAACTGTGAATACACGGTGTAGGTCTATCTATGCCTATGATGTCGGCGAGAAAATTATCAATCATTTCAATTAGTTGATCACGAATTCAAATGATTCATCCTTTGTTGTAAAAATCAAAGCAAATGAAAAACTTATTAAGATAATCCTTTATGTTACGGCCTACATGAACTAAACCGGATGCAGACGAGATTGGATGTAAAACAAGCTTCGTGTCGTGAGTCAGTATCGCGTTTATTAACGAAACTACAACACCAATTCACAAAAAAAGAGCATACTTATACGAGGCGCTGGTTGGCCCTGTGTTAGAGATTTGTATTTCAGAGTTGGCGAGTCAAGTTACAGTCCGTGCGAAACCAGAAGTATTCCTCGCACTTTTAAGTCGTAGGAGCATTATAACTAAATCCTTAGCATGGATTGTGAGTGAGTAGCATGACGATGCTGACTGGTTGCCTCTCCTGTGGTAAGTGGTTGAAAACTAAGGATTGTTTGTTTGTAGTTAAGCACAAAGCTATACATCGGCTATCTGTGCTCTGCCCACCACGAGTATCGAAACCCGGGTTCTAGCGTTGTAAATCCGCTGTGCCACTGGGGGGTGAAAATTAAGGGCGGTGGCAGATAGCCTTGATAACTTTCCCGTACATTCTTATAATTTACTTAATAAAACTATCAACCTTTAGATTTGAAAGTATGAATTTGTTACTTTTGTAAACACTTCTAAAGTGAGTTTTTTTCTCTACTTCTTCCGGCAGAGGGAGTACCCTGTCGTCTCTTCTTCGCCGGCTCCTGAAGAAATATGGCAATGCCATTGTTATGTAAAGGAAGATCTCCTTCCTACTAATTATTATTGTTGTCAAAAAGATAAACAAGTAAACACAATTCTAAAGGATAACGTATAACAATCCATCGGTTAGATTATCAGTTTACTGGAAGATCCTGACAATTATGAGATTAGTTAAACGGGAAGAGCTGAAGATGATTGCAATGATGTAAGAGAATGAGTAACATTTCTCCCCCACAAGGAAATAAACAATACACTCAAGGCTATAACAAACTAATTTTTTTCGCATTTTAAATCTCAACCGTGTGTTTTTTGTTCTCCCTCTGCCGGTAAAGATATTATTCTTCTGACAAAAAAACAAACATAGCCATATATTATAGACAAGTTCCAGCGCACCGAATTCCAGTAACTTAACAGTAACATTTTGTTGCCACTGGCAACAATAGCCACCGTCCTATTTATTGAAAGAAAAAAAAAGCTTAAGAAATCAAGATGCTGGTGATCAAAATGACACGAATAAAAAGTTAAAAATCATTAGCACTGCACTTTAGATCTAAAGCACTTTTAAGTTCGGCCAGTTTCGGCGTTATAGTACTTACATCTGTTTTTTCAAGAGGGCGTGATTAAGCGTTTGTTTGTTATGGATTTCGCGCAAAGCTACACGAGGGCTATCTGCGTTAGCCGTCCCTAATTTAGCAGTGTAAGGCTAGAGGGAAGGCAGCTACTCATCACCACCCACCGCCAACTCTTGGGCTACTCTTTTACCAACGAATAGTGGGATTGACCGTCACGCTATAACGCCCCCACGGCTGAAAGGGCGAGCATGTTTGTAGTGACGGGGATTCGAACTCGCGACCCGCAGATTGCGAGTCGAGCGCCCTAACCACCTGGCCACGTCGGGCCCTGGTTGAAGAGAAGGCAGCTAGGCAACAACACCACCTACTACCAACTCTGGGTTTCTTTAGTAACAAATATTGTAATTGAACGTTACATTATAATGTTACCACGAATGAAAAGGGGCGAGCATGTTCAGCGACAAGTTTCGATACTTCGACCTAACTACCAGGCCTATTCCTGTAAGTAAGAAAAATACATAAAGAACTATACGCTCATAACCGTTCCTACTTTTGATCTGACAGACTACAGTAAAGGCAGCTAGTTAACATTATACACCGCTAACGCTTGGGTTATTGTCGTCTGACCACACAGTGGTATTTGACCATAATCTCTATAGATCACCCATAGCACCACAGTGCGAAGGGTGATTCTTCGGCAACCGACCGCGAACCATGAACCAACGTATTAAGGCTAAGTATGCCACGCGTGCTCAACACTAGATACAGCCAGGTGTATAAAAAAATAAACGTTATATCAATCTGAAGTACTATATAAGCATAGTATCGTATTTATTCGCAAAAAATAATTATATTTCATTATAAATGATAGAGACAAGGCAATTGCTAGCAGGAAGATTGTCGTGTCTTCTGCTGTCTAGAACTGTGGTGCTCCTATTCCCTTTTTGAAAAAAAAATGTTTTAAACAAAGGTTATATTAAATTTAGCTGGCTTGATTTATTGCGAATTTGAAATACATCTAGTTTATGATATTCCAAAAACAAACTTAAAAAACTATAACGTTGAGATTTTCACAAATATGTATATAAAAAGTACCAGTAGTTAGTCAGCATGTACTTAAATCCACTCAGGTCTATAGTAAATATTTTATTATTTTTCTAGAATGAGATCTAAACTTTCATATGGAAAGGCATTTCTAATAATCTTGTTACAATCTGATACCTGGTGGTGAATAAAGTAACTAACGACAAAAAACGTATTTAGTGTTATACTGGAGACGAACGAATCTCGAACATTTCTAATAATCTTGTTACAATCTGACACCTGGTGGTGAATAAAGTAACTAACGACAAAATAAAACGTATTTAGTGTTATACTGGAGACGAACGAATCTCGAACATTTCTAATAATCTTGTTATAATCTGACACCTGGTGGTGAATAAAGTAACTAACGACAAAATAAAACGTATTTAGTGTTATGCTGGAGACGAACGAGTCTCGAACATTTCTAATAATATTGTTATAATCTGACACCTGGTGGTGAATAAAGTAACCTATTTAGTATTATCCTGGAGACGAACGAATCTGGAATATACAAAATAAATGTCCAAAAGTGAATATTGGAGTCAACACACAACGGTCACGCACAGTTAAACCTAACAAACTTTAAAAGATACCTATTCTACACAGAAAAATATGTCCACCATCCCTCTTTACGCCATCTGTAATTTTGATAATTTTCCACTCAATTGATCAATCGTGCCTGCTCAAATGGAACTCAGACACCGACTCTATTCGCCTAAATTTGCTGTTTTATTCTTTAAGTCACGTTTCAAAGTCAATTTATAATTCCGATGACCGCTGTATTATCATCTGATATTAGTGAAACCAGAAGTTTTATAAACTTGGATCACGCTCTGATATTAGTGAAACCAGAAGTTTTATAAACTTGGATCACGCTCTGATATTAGTGAAACCAGAAGTTTTATAAACTTGGATCACGCTCTGATATTTGTGAAACCAGAAGTTTTATAAACTTGGATCACGCTCTGATATTAGTGAAACCAGAAGTTTTATAAACTTGGATCACGCTCTGATATTCGTGAATACGAAATCACGAAAAGTCTTCTATGATCATCTAACCCAAATTTCTGATTTGCGTTTTGTAGTCGCCTGAAAATATTTGCCCTTTTCAGCTCAAGTATAATGCGCAGCTACAGAACCTATTCAATAACACACGTTTTTAATAGGCCTCGAACCCGGATGTAACTGATGGAATACCCTTGCACCAAACCATACTTGTTGGTACGTGAGATTGCAGCCCTCTATTCAAACTCGTGTTTTACATTTTTCTATGTTTATGGATCAGGTTATAAAGAAAGAAAGATAAGGTTTCAGGCCGACAGCAGAATAAATTATAAAAATTGACCAACAAACAAACAAAGTCTAAAAAAGAATATCCATTCTACTTTTAACATGCAAACATTATGCGAAAACACTAACTATGGTCTAAAGTTTATGTATCCTAACCATACGTACTTTTCACTAACAACAATTATAAATCTTTTACTTCGTCTCAGCTGATTAAACACCGAAACATAATGGAGTGAAACGTCACCTCAAAATCATACATTAACGTCACCTCAAAATCATACATTAACGTCACCTCAAAATCATACATTAACGTCACCTCAAAATCATACAGGTATTCGTTGCTTAAATCTAATTATCTCATCAATTCATAACAATGGCTTAATAAAAAAATCGGGAGGACTTACTTGGCGTGTGTTTCTTCATCATATCTTGCCTTCAAATCAAACAACTCGGACTGAGTTGTCTCTAAGGCTGTAAGACAATGAACAGATAAGGATGAGTATATAACATGCAATGCGGCTCAAACAATAACAAACAGCGGTAAAACCAAATAATCTGGTTAGTCTAACGTTTCAAAATGGATTCACAGAAGTGCGTACACGCCTTATTTTTTAGATACCAACGCATACATACATACACATTGGATAACTTCGATATTGGCAGTTACCTACACAACCTGTGGTCTGGCATTCAGTTCGGGGAAACCAAGCCTTTCCCCCCACCCCCACCCCCTGTCGTTTCACAAAACTGAGGCAAGAGACAAACTGAGGATCTGCGCATTACGTATGGAGGTGTGAATCGTTTTGTTCAGATTGAAGCCTGGAGATTCCATATGCCGATCACATTGTTTCCGATGTTTAGACACAAGATAAATAAAATGACATGTTTGTACGGGAGACTTGATTGAACAGACGACGTCATTATCCAATTCTATTACCAAACGTAAGTTGTGGCTGAGGGTTCTGAGTTATCTGTATTGACACAATTAACTTTTTTAGCTAAAGAGGTGAAATCAACTTTTACACCATCCCTTTCACACCTCCTGCTTTTAAATTCCTTCCAAATAAATTTGTTTGTTTGTTTGTAATTAAACACAAAGCTACACAATGGGCTATCTGTGCTCTGTGGCCCGGCATGGCC